TAATTCACTAAGTGATCGCTCTGCTGTTACTCTCTTCTTTTTTGCCTCTTTAAATGCCTGGGTTAGCTCAAGAGCCTTATCCTCTAGCTCCGAGATTCTTTCTTCTCCATGGTTTAATCTGTTATTGATACTTTCTGCTGCATCTTTAACTTCTCTGAATGACTCTTTCAATTCCTTAAGGTCTGTATATCCTTTTTCATTTTTTCATGTCTCTCATTCCTCAGGTCAATTTTGGACTTCCTTTTGGTGGTTTTCTACTTTCCCTTCATCGTTTTTGTGTCCATACTCTTAATTCCCTTTCTGTCATTTCCATAATTTCTTCATAGGTGTGATCCTCTATGGTAGCTGTCTTGTGATCCCTTGGAGGGGTTGATCTGTTCTGGTTTTTCATGTTGCCAGAATTTTTTTGTTGATTTCTCCTCGTGCGTGTTTTCTTCTTTTTCACTTCTGATCGTGGCTTTCTCCTTTTGCTTCCTCCTTCTCTTTAATATTCCATGTCTTTGTGCTTGGGTGTTGGAGTGGCCTAGGATTCAAGATTGTCTGTTTTGTGGATCTGTTGCTTCATCTGCGTCAAAACTCTCTGAACTCCACGTCCTGGTATCAACCACACAACATGCCAAGAAAATGCTTTCTACCAATTCCCACTGCCTCAAGCTGGCCTGACCACTCCACTTCTTTATATAATGTAGAAATGTGTAATGGCTGAATATTATGGGAAGGCACTTCTGATTTCCAGTCTCTGACTTTTATTTTTTTCTCTCTACAACTTACATGTTGATTCTGGGAAATATAAAGGACAATCAAGTTTAAATCCAGTAACTCTATTCAAATCTAATATTGATAAGAAAGAGGAGGAGAATGTAGGGAAGAAATGATATGCAGACTCATTTTTGCCTTATGTTTATGAACCCATCAGTATATTTGCTCTTGTATTTAACTCTTCCTTTTACCTACAAACACTGACATCACTCAATTTGTATCTTTCTTTTTAGATGGAAGAAGCCAACAAAGTAGAGGTAAAATTTCATATTTACCCTGTGTGAACTGTGTGTGTGTGATGTGTATATGCCCTTGTTTGCTACCTGCCCAGGCATTCTCCTTTCCTGGCTAATCACTGTGTGTTTATGGCCTCTCTTGTCATAAAGAGATACATGTCAGTGGTCAATGCCAAAATTGCTTAGTAAGCCACTACAGTAGCCAAAAAGAATTTATAGGAAAAACTCATCAACTAAACCTTTAAATATTTGCCATCTTTTCAGAATGGGAGTGAGCCTCTAATGATTCTTGATGACCAAGCTAACAAACTGAAGTTGGTAGGTATATGATACTTTATAATTCTTATTTACCTAAACATGGATTCTACTTCCTATAGATGTGTTAATACCAAATATGTATGGACTCTGTATGAAAATACAAATGTGACAATTATTTTTCTAAATGTTAATGTAATATTTATGTGAATATGCAAAACAATCTTTTTAGGAGACACACCTTGATCTAATCCAAATACTTTTTAAGGTGTGGACCAGTTGGCTTTGCTTGGGGACATGTCTACATTTCCTGACCTAAATAGCTTAATATCGAATTTGTATTAGTTGAATGAAACTACAATTTTGACAAATATTTTCCTAAACTTTAATTTAGGAAGCAAACAATTACAACAATATATTCAAAGTAATCTTTTTAGTAGATACATCTGAATCTAATCCAAATACTTTTTTAAGGGTGTTGACCAGATGGATTTGTTTGGGGACATGTCTACACCTCCTGACCTAAATAGTCCAAAAGTAAGTGTTTTTAAATTTGCAATGTAATGGAAATGCCATCTATAACTCAAATTGGCAATTAACCAGAAATTGTGAACATCTACTGAAACTCAAAAGGTGACTGTTGATATTTTTTAATTTTCTTTTTTGTATTTAATCTTTTAATTTTTTATTTTTTGAGACATAGTCTCACTTTGGGGTCCCCAGTAGAGTGTTGTGGCATCACAGCTCACAGGAACCTCAAACTCTTGGGCTTAAGCTATTCTCTTGCCTCAGCCTCCCAAGTAGCTGGGACTATAGGCACCCACCACAATGCCCAGTTTGGTGACTGTTGATATTTTGCACACTAAGTGTACATAACTTTTAGAAGGAATTTGCATGTTAAGTCACTGTAAAAAGCTATCAGCATAAATTTATATATGTTACTATTGCTTAAAGGTAAATATGACCAATAGGTCAGGCAATGTAGTCCTTCGTGCTATTATTTAAGAACAGGAAGAGGGATTCACTGTCGGTCCTTGGCATAAGCCTACTTGAAGAAAGTATGATTGTTAGGTGATAAATCATAATGCATCCTGACCTCTTCATTTCTTTTCCATCTGTTGTAATTTAACAGAATTATATTGGTGTGAAGTTAAGACTTAAACAAGAAGCTCAGTTCAGTTATGTTTAATAAAAGCCTGTCCTCCTTAAAAAATGGCTCACTGTAGCTGAGCACAGTGGCTCACACCTGTAATCCTAGTAACTCTGGAAGGTTGAGGTGGGTGGATTTCCTGAGCCCAACCAAGAGTTCAAGACCAGCCTGAGCAAGAGTGAGACCCAGTCTCTAAAAATAGCCACGCATTGTGGTGTGCACCTGTAGTCCCAGCAACTCTGGAGGCTGAGGCAAAGGGATCACTTAAGCCCAATAGTTTGAAGTTGCTGTGAGTTATGATGCCACATAACTCTACCAAGGGTGACAAAATGAGACATGTCCCAAAAAAAAAAAAAGTATTGCTCATTCTTTAAAGGTTGTTATAGTATATCAAGTCTTTTCAATACTAATTTATTGGTAACAACTCTGTGAAAATGGAGCAATATTCTTACAGAAACCTGATTTATCCAGGAAAGAGGTCCAGATTCAAGGGTTATACTCAAATCTTCAGACCTTCCAAAATAAGCCTCAGGTGAAAATGATCAGTATAATTTCGAATGACTTCTTACAACTCCTAATGTTATTTACTTAATAATTTCTTCAGTATCTGCTGAAGGTACTGCAGTGAGTAAGAATCTATGGTCACAGAATTTGCTGTCTATCAGGGAGATCAACAGAAAAAATTATCACAACACTAATTTACTGATATGAATTACAGGATATTTATCGAGTTTAGAGGTTGAGTGGTACTTCTGAGGAAATGAGTTTCTCAACTTGAAAATGAAAGATGAGGAAGCAGTAACTAGATAAGAGAATCAATCTAGAACAATGGGGAAAATGTCTACATAGGAGTTTCTTATGTCAGGAAATTATCATGCAAAATTATATGACCAAGAAAGTCACAGGAATTCAAAGAGCAGATCAAAAATTGGGTAAGATTCTCTCTTCCCAGAGTATTGCAGAGAGTATCAGCCCTGTGAATCCTTACTGCGTAAAACTTCCGAGTGAGATGGAGTGGTACAGGGCTGTGTGCACTCCTCTCTGACCCCAGCCCTGTGAGGATCACAAAGCACAAAGCAGTAATATTTTAAAAGCCCTGAACAGCTCCTAACAGAGAAGCCTGTTAAAACAGGTCCTAACTCACCTGGCTATCGAACTTTTTATTCTTCATGTTTGTTACCATTGTGAGGATAACCTTTTTTGGAATACTGGATTAGATTATCCTGAAAGGTTCATCATATTAGCTCTGAGATTCTTTTGATTCCCAAGCAGCTTTGCTCTCTTCTCCATCATCAGCCATCTCCCCAAAGCAAACTGGTACATCTGAACAGCCTACTTCCCAAGTATAACTGATATGCACACAAGTGTGTTGAAAAAGAGTAAAGCACTCAGATACAAAGTGGAATTCCATTCTGGTGGGATAGGCAAGCAAGCACTGACCATTTAATCTGCTTTTATAGATGTCTAGAAAGCTCTGGGAAAGGAAATGAAAAACAGCATGGGTACTCTTGAGTTTCATTTGTATTGGATCTCATGTAGTCTAAGAATTTTTTTTATTTATAGAAATTCAAGTTTTGATTAAACTAATAATAAATTAAAGTAATAAATACTTTCAAAGTAAATGATCCATGTTAAGTAAGAGAAAGCTAGCAGGGCTAATTATGTTATGTCCTGGTGACACTTTGACAACATGCTCTTACATATTGACTCTTTTTATTCATAGGAGACAAAATAGATTTATCCCTATCCAGTAAAACCAGCATGTTTAAAAATATCTAACTCTTATAACAGTTGCTCTGAAAGATGTGAAGAGAGAATTACCTAGGCTTTATTAGTGGTTCTGGATGGCTGTCATCCCCCGAATATACAGAAAAGTTTTATGCATTTCAAATAATGTTCTTATGGCAAATTAAGTGGCATCCTTTAGAACACGATGTTTTCGGAAAAACCACTTAAGCATTATGTTTCCATAACACATCTCAAAAAAAGAAAAAGCATAAAAATGCTCTTGGACTTTAAAACTTGAAAATTGGAATCTGAAAACACAGTTATAAGAAAAACACAAGGCATGATCTACCATCAAGGGGATTAAATCTGATGCAAATGGTGAGATCAGGGTACAGATTTATATAGGTGTCATGTATATATATACATGTGTATATACCCCCATATACACTTGTGTATATACCCCCATAAAATGCCATGGAATGAACACAGGTAAAATGGGGATTGAAAGATCAATGGGAAAAGGCTTTGTAAAAATAGGAATTTATATTGGACCTTAGAGGTGAGTAGAAAAATAGATAGTAGTTCAGCTAAAACAAATTGAGTCCTATCATGATTTGTTTGGAACTCAGCCTAAAGAGTTTATTTTAATACAGGAAGTAGCAAGAAGATACTAAAGGCTTTGAGCAGGGAAGTCTTCAATTTGGCTGGTTAGAATGGCTGGGTAATGTTAAGAGAAGCAGTAAGCCATGGAACTCAGTGTTATGAACATTGTTTCACGCAGATGCCTTTGGATTTCCTGCATTCTGCCTCCCACCTCTTACCAGAGTTCTTTAAGAGCAGAGATTGTAACTCACTTTCATTCCTCGAGTGCCTGCCTCTCAGGTGCTGACACGGTGGCCAGATGGATGTCTGGATGTTGGGTTGACAGCCCAACAGAAATTAATAACTCTCTGAACGAGAGGGTAGATGAGGAGTCTTTTGCTTTCTGAGTGGTAGGCTACGAACTACACTCTTAATCTTGGATTAACAAGAAACCCAACCTGAAGAGAGCCTTATACATTTTACTTATAGGGTGACTATTCAGAAGTCTAACTTTGTGGCTCCTGTTTGGTGTCCTAAGAACTTCTTCTGAAGTATTTGAAAAGGAGAACTCTACCAGCTGTGAAAACCAACTGTTCTAACCCCGAGGTGGCTCATAATAAATGAATAAATGATGAAATCACAAGATTTTATAATATATTTTCTCCTACCTTTGATTATCTAAAAATTCCCTATATTAAAAGGTCTTCCAATCCATTTCTTTGATTAAATTTTTTTTTTTAATTATAAGCTCTTGTGACAAATTCTTCTGGTTATAAAGAGAAAATCTGGCTTTAAGAAAAATTGTGTTTTGATACCTCACAATAAAGGAAGCCAAAATATAGCATACCATGTAGGTCTGATTTTGTTATCTCTTCTACAGTCATGACATAAGACATAAACCTTCTAAAATTTTGTTCTTTTCTTTAAAATCCAAGGAGACCTATCTGACCCCCTTTTATACTTACTAGTTTCAAAGTTTCATAGTTCAGTGTTTAATTGAACAAAGATAGTCAGAAGGAAGGGATGTCAGTATGAAAGCTCTATCTCAGAGTGAGTCATAATTAATCATGTCACCAACTGGAATAAAGACATGCCATATTCATCATATTTGCTGCTTTTTTGCTGAGAAGGATTTTTTTATCAAACAATTGATCAAAAAAAATTAACATACCAGAGAAATGATATAGAGAAGAAATAGAATTAGTAGAGCTATACATTTGGTATATTTTTCAAACGAACTTTTCTTTTTCCAATATGTCTGCCTTTGGTACAGTGTTGTGGAGTCACAACTCACAGCAATCTCAAACTCTTGGACTTAAGCTATTCTGTTGCCTCAGCCTCTCAGGTAGCTGGGACTATAGACACCTGCCATAGAGCCCAGCTATTTTTTAGTTGCAGTTGTCATTGTTGTTCAGTAGGCCCAGGCGAGGCTCAAACCCTCCAGTCTCCGTGTATGTGGTTGGCACCCTACTCACTGAGCTACGGGTGCCACTTTTTTTTGTTTTGTTTTGTTTTTTAGACAGAGTCTCACTATGTCGCCCTCGGTAGAATGCCGAGGGATCACAGCTCACAGCAACCTCTAAGCTTAAGCAATTCTCTTGCCTCAGCCTCCCAAGTAGCTGGGACTACAGGTACCTGCCACAATACCCAGCTATTTTTTGGTTGTA